TTCGTCACTGCTTAACATTTCGAAGCCCGGTTCACACGAGTCACAGTTAAACCACTCTCTTATATTTTCCTCGTTGACTTCTTCACCACCATGAACTTGGTTAGCCACTTTTGTCAATTTTATGGCTATCTCATTTTCACTGAATCCAGTGAATCCATGGATTTCGTCATCTTCATTAGTGATGAAAGGCATCAGTTTCTTCCATGAATTTTTCAATACAGATGGCTTTACTGTATCCCACGCTGTTGAAATCTCGTATATGGCATCTAATACTGAAAAGGACTTCCAGAAACACGTCAGATCATTGCCTTCATCGATGTACTTTTGTAGCAAATTTGATCTGTAGATTCTCTTCATACTTGAGATAACTCCTTGATCCATTGGTTGGATAAGTGCGGTAACATTAGCGGGAAAATATTTCACAAAAATATTTCCATCATCTGACCTCAGGAGACTTTCGTTAGGATGTGAGGGCGCATTGTCAATGAGGAGCACAGCTTTCTCAGGTAGGCCTTGGGATTTTAGATGGTCACGAACTTGAGGCACGAATTTAAAATCAAACCATTCTTTAAATATCGCTCTATTCATCCAAGCTACTTTCTGGTTAAAATAATGGATAGGCAGACTTGAAGCTACTGTTCCTTTAAAAGAGCGTGGTCTTTTCGCTTTGCCGATAACTACTGGTATTAGTTTGTGTGTTCCTGATGCATTAGAACAGCACAAGACTGTCAATCTCTCCTTACTGGATTTGTGACCTGGAGCCTGTCTTTCATTTTGAAATGCCAATGTTCTGGTTGGCAAGCATTTCCAATAAAGACCCGTTTCATCGGCATTATAGATTTGTTCTGGCAGCAGATTTTCACTTTTCACAAAACTATCAAAATTGGTGCAAAATTGATCTGATGCTGACAAGTCCCCTGACAATTTCTCACCTTGAATACTGATTTCTCGTATTCCATGACGCTGCTTGAAACGTGTTAGCCAACCGGAAGAAGCGTCAAAACTCCCTTCTAGTTCAAGTGCTTCGAAAAAATATTTAGCTTGTTTAGCACAAACTGGTCCTGTTATTGTTGTTCCCTGTGCCCTTAGTTGATTAAACCAGGTCAGCATCGCTTTGTCGAGATCATCGTATGTTGATTTCTTCATGGTTTTTCTCTTCTTCATTCCGCTTGAATTAGAAGACGAAGCAAAGGAAATTAACTCATTCTTTTGTTTTTTCAAATCACGAACAGTTTGTTCTCCAATACCGTATTGCATTGCTAATTGTTTAACTACAGCTCCTTTTTCCAGCTGATTGATAATTTCAAGTTTCTGTTGAATACTTAACACAACACGCTTCCTTTTAAACCCCGACATTTTGCTAACGCACTTGAAGATCTATATTAAGAAACTGATACTTACTTTCACAATGCACTCTCACACTGAGATGGTACCGTTAAATAACCTGGGGCGGTGTATTTGTCCTTGAAACTTTCCAAAAATTCTTGCATTCTTTCACCCCCACCCTAGAACATTGTGTTCGCATAACGGGACGAAATAATGCAGAGCTCGGTTCACACTAGTGCGAAAATAGTGTTAAACTCACCATGTGAAACAAAAGTGAATGAATATTAAACAACATATAAACTTAAAAAAAAAAGCCCCGGTTAAGCCGCAAACCGGTTAATCCGCCCCCGGATAATCGAGAGTTGACTGTACTTGATTAAACAGAGGAAAACTTTACTTCTACATACGACAAAGGCATCACTTCCATTCAGGAACAAAAAACGTTAATTTAGTTTCTGAAGACGGGAAATACAATGAAGTGTCTACTGGACCATACTGCCAGAACTAATTATGAAATGTAACATTTATATATACCTACTAAAACAACTTTAGTTATGTCTGTAACACCATTAATTTTGTATAGTAATATAACCGTTAAAATTTTATTATCACTGCTTTTTGATTCACTGTTATCAGAAACTAGGATTTATATGGCACTTAAGGTAGTAAAATTAATAATATAATACTTCTTAACAACATGGGTAAACGTTTCCATCATATATGAGATTTTATGGAAAACTACACCAGATCATGGCATCTCCAAATGTAACAGGAGATTTCATAACATGACAAACTTCCAGTGTAAACACTTCTTTCAAAAATACTAGTAATTAGTAATCAGAAAACCACTGAATTTTTGTAAGGACCATGCTACATAATTCATATATAATCTAATTACACAAATACAAGCTAACAATTTTATTGAAAAAATTATTGGCTGAACTCTGCCAAATACTCTAGCACATAAAAGCAATGAGTTATTCCAGAAAAGGCTTTGTTAAATCCTGTACATGTTTTGAAAACATATATATGAGTCTCTGCTACATTTGATTCAAGTCTGAAATCATAAAATGTCTACAATCTAGTTACTGAAGAACTGACTGAACTACTTAAACTGGTGGATTATATGTAGTCTATAAATGTAAGATTATTTTTGAAAAGCCATACTGATTCCAAAACAAAGTAATCCAATGCTAAAAAAACTCCATGGTTTTAATCTGCAAGCAAAATTTCAAGGAAATAGCGTCTCAGGTCTAGAAAACCGAAATTAACGGCCATGGGGATTCATTGTGCTGACCATGCGACACCCTCTATCCACTAAAGTTGACACTAACTTCGCCGACAAGTGGCGGTCGCTCGGTCGGTAACCAAACGTTAAGAGAACCAAAATATTCAACACTGACAATACCAAAACTCAGTGATGGGTCACATTCAGGGTCAATTAATATTTTCACAATCTAAACTATTTTCATACAAAACTTTCACATTTGGGTTCCATAACACTGGTCTTCTTAGACAAAGAGACAAAGACAGCTACTGCTCTCCGCAGCTTTTCAACTGCTCTGAAGATGGAGGCGCTACGTTCCTCCGAAACGTCGGCCAAAACGAAGAATACACGGTGCCTAAACCCAGAAGACAACTTTCTTCATTGTCATCGCCGTGAAAACCTCAAAACTTACAAAGAGTTCTACTGTTTAGTTGCCAGTTCCAGTTCTGTGAGGTACACCAGGCATGTGTCACATACATGACTTTGTCTGAAACAGTGGTGATGGTATTCATTTGACAGTGGTGGGGAAGGACTTCATCATTGCATTTTCAAGAAGTTTCTGAAGGGTTCTGATGATAGTGTACAACACTTTGGATTACTGGGTTTTTGGATGTTGTAACTAGACCTCTGTCCTTAGGTGAGGGGACAGGTGACACATACTATTCTGGGTCTGTCAGAAAGAACTAAACTGAATCACTGGACAAACTCAGGCTGGTAAGTTGTGACAATTAGAATGCAGAATCTCTGGAAGAACGGCATTGTTTCCAAGATTCCATTAAGATATATTGCAGCATTTGGACATAAACTTCATTTTACAAGAATTTAAGCAACTTCTAACCGTGCATGGACTTATTTTGTCATCCAAGATTTAAGAAAGCAAAGCTAGTTTTATTCCTTTGAATGTGCTGAAGTCCTGTCTGGCTTAGGTGAAGGTACAGTTTTCTCTGTGCTTAATTAAGCACCATGCCATGGAAACATCAGAGGGGTGGAGGTATATCTCCATGCATTCTTAACTAGAGTAACAGATAATGGTGAACAATTAGCTTCATGCCCCAGCCATTCTACCCCAAAGAAAATAGGTCCAGAACCATTCTGGTGAAGAAGCACATGATCTCTTGCCCCTGCTAGGAATCCAACTCAGATTTCTTGGTTGCGCAGCCCAGTGCCAAATCTCAAAACTAAATGAAAAATTCTGACAATATTATCTGGGTTCTTCATTCTAACAACACAGTCCCTTAAAATGATACTTCATTTCCATCAATATTTAGACAATATGTTGCTATGAACTGTCAAGAAGTCTGATAGATAGCAAGGAGACATTTTGACTGCTCAAAGTAATTACATTATTGATCACTTTGTACTTAAATTTTGTAACACCACTCAACAGAGAAGTTGCGAGAGTTTCAAGGTAAACTAATATTGACATGAATGCTTCAATGCACAAGAGTCCTTCACCTCACAAGTATATCAATATGAAATATACGTAACTGGGGTTCAATATGTCTCATGCATTGATCACGAATACTAGAGCTAGGAAACTCATATTGATTGACCTGTTACCCTGGAGATGCAATATAAACACAAGAAATGGTCAGTGTTTGACTTCTTCAGTTTTCTGTTACTTGAAAGGTCTATACAAGTTGTATACACACTTCACAGAATTCCTGAAATATAAATAATCATAGCAAAAATACTGTACAGCTGTTGCTATGCAATGACCGCAATATGCGTTCGGGAAACATGTTCCTATTGCTAGACAGCTGCAACAGCTGGACTACAACAACATAAATGGTGGTGTTTTCTATGTGGTCCATACTGAGATGTTATGAGCAGGACAGTTTGAAGCAACGAGTTCAGTTGTGAGATATTTGCCAGACAGTAACGACGCAAGCCCAGAAACTCAAAGAGTCTCCACTGTTGAGAGCTGTTACCAAACAACGACCAGGGAAGACTATATAAAAGGCTAGAGAAAACTTAGGGTGTAGTGATTTGTAAAGCGTGCATATCAGTGACAGTGTTATAGTTATTTGCAGTTAATATCTAAAAGTGGCCAATAAATCAAATTATCCAAAACCCCAACTATAGTCACACATACTACGTGATGAAACATATTTAAATTACCTTTGTCACAACAAGAGAAAAGTATATTTAGGCATTTAACGCCATTAAATAAAATAAACCAATATAATATCAGTCAGATTATATAGTCCAAAAGTCTATTTGACTAGATGGAACCACATTTACAACAGAAGCGGAAAGAAATCTAAATACTGAAGTACAAAATGATGAATAAAAACATTACACCATCACACGTACATTTACATAGAAAAAACAATACGATTCCATCAAAACCAAGCAATCTTAAAACAAAATATTATTTTATCCTGCAGTGATCTCAATAACTTACCATAAGAGAATATTCTGGGTGCTGTGACCCTGACACTACCAAGTGCTCCAACATGATTCAATACTGCACAGCGATAACCATGGCACTGGGCATAATGTACAAATGTTCGAATGTACACACTTTCAGAGGTGTTACCAATTCCTGGGCAGATGGCCAGTGTGTAGTCATCTGGAGTAAATAAAATGCTTATTATTAATTTTAAGTCCTATTTATATGAATAAAGATATAAAGACAATCTGGTAATGTAAAAATACACAAAAAGTGATGGGAGTAACTTATCATCTTCACTTTTCTTCAAATGCTTCAGTCTACATGGTGAATACGGCAAAACTTAATATCAATAACAGCATTTTGGTGATATAATCCAACTGAATGCTTAAATTCCATTCATACAGACCTGCACTATATTACAGTTGTCAAATACAATCTCAAAAGTCATAATCATAAAAGTTCATAAGTGCAAGCATATAAAACTTTATAGGCATGTTTATGACAAATATCCATAAAACATACATGCCTAACTCTGATGTGTCAGTAGTTATCTTCAGCAAGTAGGAATTAAATACAGATTTCATGCAACTGCCATGGTGTTATTTTATATTCTAGAGGTGCTTTATTAAAATGCCAAATTTGGCTGAAGATCCCCATGCAAAACTGTCTTAATATTGGCACAGGGGTGGCTTCAACCTAAAAGTATGCATGGCAGCCATGCTGGTATTATTGATATGAAATTAAAGGTACAGACACAAGGTCATTTTGTATTTTTCAACAACTTTCACAAAATCAAGCCACTGGTTCAAATACTATAAAATGTTTTTGAAGCTCATTTCTTCACATATTTTCATGGTAACTACATAAAATTATGCATCACTTCCACCTCATAAGTTTGCAAGGACATAATGTTGATATTGTGGATGGAAAGGGATTAATTTAATGAACATATGTCATTTGATTCAATATTTACTGGGGGGTTGATACAGGAACATATTTCTTTATACGATACGGTAAGCTAAGAAAATCACACTCACTACTGCAACATTTTCATTTTCAACACCTAGAAGCCTAAATGACTTTAGCAGATTCACATATAATTAAACTTCAGATCTGTATTTGTTGACAATGAATATACATGCCATACAGTAGAACTTGTCACACAGGAATTGCCAGCTACCTCTTCTGTCTATTAAGAAAAGATGGATGTTGATAGCATCATGTCCCTGCCCTGCGTGTGTCAGTTCCTCATAATAACTTCTGAATAAATTTACAAATTTTATTGAAAGTTGGTATAGACTTCGTGCCACATCACTTTCATACTTTCAATTTCCTACCATCAATAATACCAACATGGAGGGCAAGTGTAAGAGATTGGAATGACTGTAGAGCGAACAAATGAAGGGGCCTAAAATTCCATGAGAACAGATGTTCCAAAGTATGCAACTGCGTTGCTGTACTTACTAAGAACGTAAAACAATAGAGCAGCCATATAAAACTCATGTTCTGCCTTCAGAATGTTAGAATTCGAAAAAAAACAAGTGTGCCCCACATGTGCAACAAAAGTTTAGGACCAAGTATGGTAAGAAGCCACCAACCAGAAGGCAATTCACCACTGGCACAAGAAATTCGTGGCTACAGGTTGCTTGTGCCCAGAAAAGAAGAGTGGACGTCCGGGTGTGAGTGAAGAGGACGTGGATCATGTAAGAGAGACATTCACGAGGAGTCTGAAGAAATCAGTCCGTCAAGCATCCCGTGAACTCCAAATGCCCCCAATGACAGTGTGGAAAGTTCTGCGCAAGAAGCTGACAATCAAGCTATTCAAATTGCAGCTAGTGCATAAGCTAAATGACCAAGACAAAGGCAGGCGCTTTGAGTTTTGTTGTCAGTTGCAACAACTGGCAGAGGATGACGATTGGGTCGTGAATCGATTAATTTTTAGCATCGAAGCGACATTTCACACCAATGAACAGTGAACGGGCATAACTGTCGAATCTGGGGTACCACGAAAGCGCAGGAATTCACTGAATATTAGCGCGATTTCCCGAAGGTGAATGTTTTCTGCGCCTTGTCACGTCGAAAACTCTATGGGCCATTCATCTTCTCCGAGGCCACTGTTACTGGATATAACTATCGGACATGTTGCAGCAATGGCTGATGCCTCAAATGAAATCGAATTCTGATACGTTCGTTTTACAGTAGGAAGGGGCTCTACCCCATTTTCATGGTGAAGTTCGTGAATACCTGAACACGGAGCTCCCCAGCGATGGATCGGACGTGCTGCATGTTTCGTGAAATGGCATCCGCGATCGCCAGATATCACTCCGTGTGATTTTCTTCTGTGGGGACACGTGAAAGATCTGGTGTATGTACCGCCTTTTCCACGTGATAGAGCAGAGCTCAAGGAGAGAACCCAGCAAGCGACCGCCACAGTCGACGAGGCCGTATGGCAAAAATTCGATTACCGTGTGGACGTCTGCCGAGTCACTCAAGGTCCCCACATCGAAAGTTTATGAGGTAAAAACAAACTTTCACAGTTTTTCTTCAAAATGACACATATTACATGATGTCTGTATAATCTGTACTTCTTGTGCAATAAATAACTTAAAGTGTGCCCAGACTTTATGTACACTCTGTAGAAATGACTACTTTACCATATTCTGCCTCTTAGCGGATACCTTCTATAAATAACTATTGCAGGCCTAAATCCATGTTCCAGCATTTTCCTTGAATAGCAAACACTATAGCAGCTTACCATGAAATTCTGGAACCGCCTCGGGATCTTGTCTAACAACGCTCTTTCGCTATACGCCGTGTCGAACCTTCCAGTTTCTGTACCACGAAGAGCTGTTTGGCTAACATTTTAGGCAAAGTTTGAGGGGTATGGAACATGATTAGGTTGCGAGTATGAAGGTGGACACATCCTCTATAGCAGTGTTTCCAACCTGTGGTCCGCGGACCCCCTTCAAAATGGGTCCGCGGGATAGTTTATTTTCATTAAGCTTTATCTTATCATGTTCCTCACACCTGGGATATTTGCAATATATATCTCTGGCTCTTGAGGCCCATGGTTGAAGTAAAATTTAACGGGACTGTTGGTACCGTTACTTCTTCCCTTTGTAAAGCAGAGGTGAATAACCAACGATTTGTGTAGCTTTTTCCAAGGAACAATCAAGTTCCTTCCGTCAAATGTGACACTTTTTTAAGTTTTCCACCTCGTCAGCACCTGCCTTACATGTTTCGGCTCACCACGGAGCCATCATCAGAGGCATTTATAGTAGAAAAAGAAATCACCAACACACAAAACTTCACTTTGTCCAAGATAGCCACTTTCCAGTTAATTAAAATAATTACAAATAGTTAAAATTACCCAGAATGTCGATTCACTAAAAGTTTTTCACACACCACAGTAGCTTCCTTATTTGATTCGTCGTTAATTCTGTAAAATTATGTTTCGTTATTTGAAGTAAGAATTCTTAAAATCCCTAGAATTCTTTCCCGCTTGGCCCAATCTTTTTGCTTCGGGATGTTGTTGACGTGTGTTGTC